TAGAACAATACTTTTTAACCTTTAATAATCCTCTGACATTTTAGAATATTTTGGCATCTTCTCAATATCTCGTCAGTCCATCATCATTCATCCCATATTCCATCATCCTCTCAGCCATAGAGTTTTATCCATTCTTATCCACATATCCTCAAACCCTTATCCACATATACTCATAATCTTATCCACAGAATCCACATGTCCTAATTATGATATCCACATGTCCTAATCATGTTATCCACATATACTAATCATCTTATCAACATATCCTTATCATTTAATCTATATATCCTCATCATGTTATCCACATATACTCATCATGTTATCCACATATCCACATATCCTAATCATGTTATCCACATATATCCTCATCATCGTATCCACATATTCTCATTCTCTTATCCACATATCCTCATAATCTTATCCACATATACTCATTTTATTCACATATCCTCATCATGTTATCCACATATACTCATCATGTTATCCACATATCCTCATCATGTTATCCACATATCCACATATCCTCATCATGTTATCCACATATATCCTCATTATCTTATCCACATATTCTCATTCTCTTATCCACATATCCTCATAATCTTATCCACATATACTCATCTTATTCACATATCCTTATCATGTTATCCATTTATCTTTATAATCTTATCCAGATATCCTTATTATCTTATCCACATATCCTCATAATCTTATCCACATATACTCATTTTATTCACATATCCTTATCATGTTATCCATATATCTTCATAATCTTATCCACATATCCTCATTATCTTATCCACATATCCTCATAATCTTATCCACATATCCTCATCATCTTATCTACATATCCTCCTCTTATTATCTTGACACTTTTTCATCTTCTTAATCGGACATCTTTTCTAATCCTCAACCAAATATTTCTTTTTCTCCTTATTATTCATTATAATCTTCTTATTTTCTCACTTTCCTATTTTATTTTAACCTTAAAATCTTCTATTCTTTTCATGTTCTCCTCCTGTATCTTACATTCTTCTCTTGTTCTCCTCCTATATCTTCTTTTCTTCTCATGTTCTCCTCCTATATCTTCTTTTCTTCTCATGTTCTCCTCCTATATCTTCTATTCTTCTCATATTCACCTCCTGTATCTTCTATTCTTCTCATGTTCTCCTCCTATATCTTCTATTCTTCTCATGTTCTCCTCCTATATCTTCTTTTCTTCTCATGTTCTCCTCCTATATCTTCTATTCTTCTCTTGTTCTCCTCCTATATTTTCTATTTTTCTATTTTTCTCATGTTCTCCTCCTATATCTTCTATTATTCTCTTGTTCTCCTCCTATATCTTCTATTCTTCTCATGTTCTCCTCCTTTATCTTCTATTCTTCTCATGTTCTCCTCCTATATCTTTTATACTTCTCATTTTCTCCTCCTATATCTTCTATTTTTCTCATGTTCTCTTCCTATATCTTCTTTTCTTCTCATGTTCTCCTCCTATATCTTCTATTCTTCCCATGTTCTCTTCCTATATCTTCTATTCTTCTCATGTTCTCCTCCTATATCTTCAATTCTTCTCATGTTCTCCTCCTATATCTTCTATTCTTCTCATGTTCTCCTCCTATATCTTCTTTTCTTCTCATGTTCTCCTCCTATATCTTCT